AACGGTTCCATCAACGTGCCAGACTAAGGTAAGTGGTATTCTAACTCTTTGCTCTTCTCTCTGGTGATAACTGCTGTGATGCCAGTGAAAGATATTCGATAGTTCTAGGGAATGTCTACTAAACGGTTCGAAAATTGAAATACCCACCTGGAAAGAGCACATCAGTGTCTCATCAACAGTCATCATCGACCCAGCATTGTCAAACTCTCCACAGTAGTTGGGTGCCGAGAACAATGTGACTAGTTGTCGTTTAGCAAAGAACTCATACCCGTCCTCCACAACCTGAAATCCCTCACTTTCAGACTACTTTTTGCCTCTTTCGCGAAAATATTTAGGATTCATTTAATATTAAATTGTTAATATATAGTAAAAGAAACATTCAAGTGCATTGTTTATGTTCAAATTTTATGTTAAAAAATGGAGTTGTTGCACTTTCACAGGCAGCCGAAGCCGCCGAGCTAGGATCTAATAATTTCAACGTGCTTGGCAATGTTCAGCTTCCCACCTTTACGAATTCTAGAACCGGCGAGAAGAAATAAATACGTATCGACTGAGCGAATCATCAACCACTCCGAGAGAAACGTCGGAAATCCGGCGCAAACGCAAAAAGACCTTGATTGGTATCGGTTTCGTGGACCCCGCCTACGCGAAGAATCGAGGAGCGCCGGTTCCCCGCTTGGTTCACCGGTTCAACATATCAAAATCTCCCTATGGATGCGCTTCTTTCGCATACAGCAGGGTTGCAGAGGGTGGACAATGCCTTTCAGACGTTAACCAATGTTTTGGAAAGTAGTAAGAAATGGGCGTACAAAAGCAGTAAAGCAACCGACATGTATTTTTCGACAAAACCCATTGAAGGGGTTAAAAATTACCGAACAAAAACGCTTTTTCAACGTTGTTCGCTGTTAATTGTCAAAAAGATATTAAATTTTGCGAACCCAAAAATCCAAAATGCACAGAATGGAGTAAAAAAGTATTCTATTTTCACATCAATATAAACAAGGATATACCTGGTGAGCTCGACAAATGAGATCAAGGTCGTGCTTGTGAAGGAATTTTGCCACTACTTCTGGTCCAAAAGTAAACGAAACACCACGGTCGTTTTCACCCCAGCCGGTGACGTCCTAAAAATGCAAGTTTAGTATGAACTAACCTGTTCCCGAAACTGTAAACTGGTAAATCATATTACTGCAGGGACCTCAGACAAATGCCTCATTTCACCCTATTTAGACGAAGCCGTAGCGAAAAACTCGCTGTTGGCAACGATGACTCGTCTGATACCAAATTTATCTTCATAGGTCATACAGTAACCGAGAGCAATAAAGAGTGACGAGAACGAAGACGAACCTTATCAGGATCTGACCACAGCAGATCACAAAGAAGACCTTGGTCAGGGACATCGGTAGGGCGCATAATACGTCGGATCTGTTCCATAGATTGCAAGTCGGGAGACAATCCTCCATGACAACAGAATATTTTTTCGTCTATTATGGCCGCAACTGGTAAACAGTTGAAGCACTCCGTGAAGGTCTTCCACAATTTTATGTTATATCGGCGCTTGCCTAAAAACAGTTAAAATTTTTGTAGAGCAAAATTAAGAAAGGGACATGACGTTAACCATAGTCATGATCCCTGCTAACGGTAGGACGTTCAACGCGGCCCGCTTTCCCCACCTGTGAGGCTATCCTGAGCCGGCTAGACTTGATGGGAAATCTGTCCTGCCTACGCTCTAAGCCAGTCCAACGTCATATGCCCTATCGTTTGCAGGGATAACGACTGTACACTCACGCCTAAGAATAGAAAGGTAGACTCACATTCATCATAGAAACCATATATCCTATTAATCGAGGCGCATTCATGATTTCCTCGTAAAAGAAAGAAGTTTTCCGGATATTTGATTTTGTAGGCTAGCAACAGGCATATTGTTTCAAGGGACTGCTTACCTAAAAGATAAACCAATTATGCTAAAACAAGCTTTCGATGCCAACACTTACCTCTGTCCACATAATCTCCTAAAAAGAGATAGTTCGACTCTGGTGGGAAGCCGCCATACTCGAACAACCTCAGAAGATCGTAGTACTGCCCATGAACGTCGCCTGATGACAAAATCAAGTAATTCACGATACAAGGTGAAGAATAAATTCTAATTCTAGCAGTTTTTGGTGTTTCATTTTGAAGTGCTGTTTTCTCCACCTCTTTGTGATGTTCCTGCTACATTTAATCACATTTTGCCAACTTTATCCAACAGCTCCAATGAATCTCCAAGGTGAGCTGTACATCCACTTCAGGGACGTTCCTTGCCAAGTGTGAGGCGAATGAGTCCGCAGTTGCAGTAGCGTACCAGTTCCTCCGTCCAGAAGTGCGCGGGAAGGGTGCTGAGATGTAGTGGAACTCGAAAGTGGCATTACCGCAGCAACGGACCCATTCCCGCAGCAACAGACCCATTCACTTTATGCAGCAAGGATTTATGGGGGGGGGGGTACTGTACAGTCTACTTTGAACCGAAACTTACGCATTCGATATTTGAGAACGAAAACCGCAAGAACTTTCTTTCGACCCAACATATCAACACAAACGTATACAGTCTTGTTTGCTGCCGATAAATGGGCGTGTCTAGCAGGGTGAATTTGGCTCGGAACCAAACCCTTTTTCCCAGTCAAAGCGGGCAGGTGTAGCATATCGTTCGCGTCATTCGTTTCCCATCAACTGTGAAGCTTATCTGCTCCAGCGTCTGGTAAAGAATGTATTTGGGGCGCACCAAATCTGTTACGCAAGACACACCCCTTCATTCGCAGCGAACCACACTATACAAGGAATGGACAAGTTAATGAGCGCTCTCGTGGTGGTTGCGATCCTACGGATCGCCCAGCGCGAGGCGCCGGGTGCTCGGTTGAACGCTACTTATTTCCTTGAACCAATGGCATGCAAAACCCTCAGTGAAAAGAAATCCAGTAAAGTCTTTTAGTGGTCGGACAGCATCCGATCGCCCAGACTTGGTGGCGCGTGTTTTCAACGCCAAACTACAAGAGCTCCCATGATGATCTATTCAAAAGAAATGTTCTTGGAGAAGTACAAGCCTACGTGTACGTAATTGAGTTTCAAAAGCGAGTTCTCCCACAATGTCATATGCTGTTAGTAATGAAGCAAGGGTGGAGAGTGAGAACAGCAGACGATGTAGATAGGTCTATTTGTGCGAAAATCCCGACCCATAGAAGAACCAGATCTTCACGCCGCGGTCGCCTCCTGTATGATCCATAGACATTGCGGACGGATGGATTCTCCTTGCATGCGGAACGGCTCTCAAAACGATTTCCGAAGCAACTACGAGAGAGCACGTCAGTGGATGTCGATGGATACCCTAATTACAGGCATCGGAACCGTCCACCTGTCGAAATTGCGGAGATCAACGGTGTGACGAATGGGTTGTTCCATACAACCCGTACCTCTTGATGAAAGTTCGACTGTCACGTGAATCTGGAGATTTGTGGAATGATTTCGGCGGTGAAGAATCTCTACAAGTACATATATAAAGGACCAGACAGGGTCGCATCATTATTGGAGGTGATGAGAATGCAGATGAGAACGCGAACTTCGATGAAATCAAGCAGCAGAACACTCGCTACGTATGTGCGCCTCAAAGTATGTACAGAATCTTTGGCTTTACGATGCAGGAAAAGTCGCACACGATCTACAGATTACCTGTACACCTTCCCGACTTCCAGACGGTGCATTTCGTGCAGGGACAAAAAACCGTTATCTGCTAAGAGCCGTGCTCATCAGACCTTCACCACAGCCACGACGTATTTCAAGCTCAACAGACGATATGCCCAGGCTGAGGGAAGTGAACGCTCTGGATTGGCGATTGACGCTCGATAGCTTTACTATTATCAGCTGCCTGAGTATTTCACTTTTGAGCCACGCCGTGGTCGGTCCCCTAGAAAACGCT